GGCTTTTGGCGTTGTGCCGCTTGACCGCTTGTTGTTGATCACTCGTTCCCCTTGCTGCTATGCAGTTTAGGGTTTAGGGTTTAGGGTCTAGGGTTTAGGGTTGCAGAACATAGACTACCCCAAAACCCCATTTTGAATAGGGACCCTGCATGATGCAAGTCGCCCTTGAAGCTCATGCGTATAAGCTCAGTCGCCCTATGAACCCTCAACCCTACACCCTAAACCCGAAATCTGAAACCCTAAACCCTAAACCCTAGACCCTAGACCCTAAACCCTAAACCCTAAACCCTAAACCCTAAACCCTAAACCCTAAACTCTACACCACACTCTTGTGCCAGAGTGGGTGCGGGGATACGTGGGGTACATGGGGAAGGAAGGAAACCGGGGGCCTTGCGAGACCCTCAAAAGTCAAGCCCGAGAACGAGAAGCAACCAAAAGATGTTCATATTTGGGGTTTGGGGTTTAGGGCTTAGGGCTTAGGGCTTAGGGTTTAGGGTCAAGACGCAGGTTTAGGGGTTTAGGGTCGCAGGTTTAGGGTTGGACTCTGGCAAAAAAGGGCTGCGGGTTTGATGTGTAGGGTTTGGAGGGTTTAGGGTTTAGTCTTTAGCGTTTAGGGTTGAGGGTTTTGGGTGCAGGGAAGGCTCCTGACCCTGTGTGCAACCTCAGCCCTCGAGCCCTAGACCTAAACCCTCTGGTTCATTGCAGGGGTGGGGGGTGCCCTAAACCCTAAGCCCTAAACCTAACCCGAAACGAAACCCTAAACCCTAAACCCTAAACTCTAAACTCTAAACCTAACCCGAAACGAAACCTTAAACCCTGAACCCTAAACCCCAAACCCTAAACCCTGAACCTCTCTTCATATATATATATATTTTTTTTTTTAAACCCTACTGAATTCGTCGAATAAGCTAAGTCCTTCGTCGAGTAAGCCAAGTCCTTCGTCGAATAAGGCAAGTCCTTCGTCGAATAAGGCAAGCCCTTCGTCGATTAAGGCAAGTCCTTGGATGAAAATTTCATATTTTCTGAATGTTATGGGATTCTTTGGGCGGGTGGGTTGTTTTCCAAAGCCTGGAGCCCCCTAATGACTATGAATGCTAGAACAGTGACCCTCTAGACCCTAAACCCTGAACCCTACACCCTAAACCCTAAACCGCCCGATCCCACAAGACAGGAAGGGTGAGATGGACTGCAATATGGACTGCGACAATGACCTGGTCCAGCTTCTTGGCTTGATTAGGGTTTAGGGTTTAGGGTTTAGGGTTTAGGGTTTAGGGTTTATAGGGTTTATAGGGTTTAGGGTTTAGGGTTTGGGGTTGCTTAACTTCCCAGCTGTTTCTTGGCCAGGAGTACGGCGTTTAGAGTTTTAGGGTTTAGTGTTTAGGCTTTAGTGTTTTAGGGTTTAGGGCTTCATCTTCCCATTTTTCTTGACCAGGATTTCGTGTTTAGGGTAAAGGATTTAGAGAGTTTAGAGAGGCTTGAGGGGGTTTGGGGGAGGGGTTAGGATTCCCACTATTTCAGGGCTTAGGCTTAGGGGCTAGATCCATGCTTCAAGAACATAGTGGGGTGGCGGCGGGGGGGTGGGGGGGAGCTTCGACCCAGAGTCCTCCGAAATATGCCTTGGCCCTAAACCCTAAACCCTAAAAGCTTAGGGTCTAAGTCTTTTGGCCCCCCCAAAAGGGCCCAAATCCTGAATCCACTGTTCCAAACTGCCTTAAACCCCAATCGCTAAAGGCCCAAGGTCGATATTCAACCGGAGGGTTTAGGGTTTAGGGTTACGCCAGACTCCGTAAGCCCAACTGGGAGGGGGGGGGTCCTTCATCCTCTAAGTTTTCTGGGTCCCTGGTATGTGAGGAATGAAGTCGCTTATGGAGACCACAAAGAAGGACCAAGATATCGGACCACCCGCTCCCAGCCCCCTGCCCCCTGCCCCCTAAACCCTAAGCCCTAAAACCCTAAGCCCTAAACCCCCTAAACCCTCTAAACCCTCTAAGCCCTAAGCCCTACAACCCTAAGCCCTAAACCCTAAAACGAAGCAGAACAGACATGACAAAGAAGCCCACCAGAATCCAAAGCTGCAGGTGTTCTGCCGTCTCCACGAACCTCCTCTTCGGCGCCTTCTTCCTGGGTGGAGGCAGGGCACTTGTGTTTTTGTGGCGGTTTAGGGATCAGGGTAGGGTTTGGGGTTTAGGGTTTGTGGTTTAGGGTTGAGGGTATAGGGTTTAGGGTTTAGGGTTAAGCCTTGAACTTCTGCTGCCCCCGAAATCGGGAGCCGAAGGATAGAGTTTAGGGTTTAGTGAGAAAGCCGCTGCGTCGAAAAAGTCGACAGCTACTTCGATCGAGACCGGCTCAGCTCTTCAAGTATAGAGGCACCTTTCAAAGCCTGGAGAAGTTTACGGTTTAGGGTTTAGGGTCTGCCTGTAAAGCCCTTACTTACAAACCCGGAGTTCCCCCCAAAGTAGGTGTTGCCGTGCTGCGGGCGCATACATACATATATACACGTACATGTATATGTATGCATACATACATCGATATACTCATACAAATGCATGCATGCATTTGTGCATATATTGTATATGTACCTATGCATACAAATTTACTTTTCTTTGGCCTTATTGGGGGCACCCTTTGAGGCAGTTAGGTCAACCCTAAGCATGACATCTTGAGTTGCAAGCCAAAGCCGCTGTCCAGATGTTAAGAAGAGTATAAGGCCCGGGACGCCCTAAACCCTAAACCCTAAACCCTAATCCCGAACCGGGTTCAGGGTTTCAGGGTGGTTCAGGTTCACCTCAGACCCGAAAAACTCCCTAAATCCTCGAACCCCAAACCCCAAACCCTAAACCCTAAACCCTTGCGGGCCTCAGAGGAATTCTCATGGCCTTCGGCCTGCTGGTAGGCGTTCCTGCTGCATGGCCCCACTATGATGCGAGATTTTTTCAAGAGCAGTTTTCAGGTTTTTTTGGTTTGGGGTCTAGGGTTTAGGGTTTAGGGTTTCGGGTTTAGGGTTTAGGGTTTAGGGTTTCGCGTGTGCTTGCTCATGATGATATGGGTGCATAGAACAGTTTGCGTGATGTGACTTCTGAGAAGTTGCATGTGTGCCGGCAGCCTCCAAAGTCCGTTGCTCGAAAAGGGTTTTTGTTGGTCTGGGGGGTCGCGCTCAAGCAGGGCTTGTCAGGAAGTTTCAAGTGACACTGCCGGATGTATTTGAGGGGGGGTGTCCTCTGCGATCGTTGTAAGCCCCAGAACCCAAACGCCCCATCGCTGGCATGTAATGCTTTGGGCACAGGCTGTCTGCCATATATGCGCCCAGCAGTGCCGGCTTTTCTCAAGATTCCAGGGGTTTGTAACCGCCCAAAAAATCGAAAAAGCCTTCGTGTTCTTGGGTTCTGGGGAAACTAGAGTCTTAGATTACTTTGCAGCCCCAGCTGGTCCGCTGAGCCCTTTAGCGTTTAAGGTAGGTTTCTGGCTTTTGGGTTGTCCCGGGTGGTCGCTTGCTGTCATGCCATTCACTTGCGACCCGATTTACCTACTGTTTTTTTTTCAGGGTTCTACCTACTGAATAAGGAGCAGGTCCTACTAAACTGTAAAACTGTGGGCAAGTAGAGTCCCTAAACCCTAAACCCTAACCCCTAAACCCTAAACCCTAAACCCTAAACCCTAAACCCTAAACCCTAAACCCTAAACCCTAAACCCTAAACCCTAACCCTAAGAGTCACAGGCAGTTCCGGGGCAAGGAGTCATCTGAGGGCTTTGGTAGCCGGGCAGCCGGTCCTCGAAAAGCCTCTAAAGGTGATCAGCCGAGAATGGCGGTTTAGGGTTTAGGGTTTAGGGTTTAGGGTTTAGGGAACCCGTGCCCCCATACCTTTCCACAAGATCCTGGGGGCAGTTCTCTAAATGGGGGCTCCTTTTTGCCACCCGTGCGGAGCGGATTTCAGAAAGGAACCCTAGTTTAGAGAGCTACCCCTTCTGTCAGCTTAACAACCACCAGCCCGCCCATACTAACACACCTACATGACATCTACAGCCCAGTACTTCTTCGGCCACCACGAACACGACGAGTTTGCTTTCGACATGCGCGCCGCCTACATCGAGCCCTTCCCCACAGACGCTTGGGCATTGGGAGGTATGTACCCTAAAACCCTAAAACTCCCAAAGCTCTAAAACCCCTGATACCTAGAATCCTGGAACCCTACACGCTGAACTCTACGGCCTTTATCTGTCTACTGGGCGGGCTGCGTTGAGTGGTCAAGGGCCTCGAGGCCCAGGGTTTCGGTGGCACCTCATGATCGCAGGGTTTGAGGATCGTTACGGATTTTTTGTTTTTTGTGCTGCGTTCTTGTGCCTTGGATGCCTCAAGGTTTGCTAATTTCGTCTGCTACATGATCGACATAGAGTAGAGAATGCATGGTTTCTTCATGTAACCAGCAGGTTGCATAACCCCCGCTTGAGGCCCCCCTCCCTTAAGGACACGATCAGACTGAGGTGAGTTAAGCTTCAGCCCTAAACCCTAGACCCTAGACCCTACACCCTACACCCTACACCCTAAACCCTAAACCCTAAACCCTAAACCGCAAGCATAGGGCTGCTTGTAATCCCCACGCGCACAAAACGAATGGAAGCTCTGAGGGAGATTCAAAGCCCTTGCAGCTCCAAAGCCTTCGGGTTTAGGATTTTGCAGGTTTAGGGTTGAGGGTTTAGGGTTTAGGGTTTAGGGTTTAGGGTTTAGGGTTTAGGGTTTAGGGTCTAGGGTTTTAACGATTCAGGGCTTCGGGGTTTCAAGTGTCAAGGACTGCGCAAGAGCTGAGTCATTGGGTGCCGCTTGGCAGGCGGCTCGCCATGGTGGCAAGATTCTGGCTCGAGCCCCGAACGTAAACCCGAAACCTGAAACCCTAAACCCTGGCCCTAAACCCCAAACCCTAAACCCGAAACCCCTAAACCCTAGCCCTAAACCCCAAACCCTAAACCCTCAGAAAGTCCCTATAAGGCCTGGGTTCGGAGGGATCATGGCCATCTCACCGAGCCGCCGGCTGCGCCTGCATGCTCGGAAGTATCATCGTCTGGCTCACAAGTCCCAGGTGTGACTTGAAAGGGTTTAGGGTTTAGGGTTTGGGGTTTAGGGTTTAGGGTTTAGGGTTTAGGGTTTAGGGTTCAGGGAATGTGCTCAGCACTAAGGTCATGCCCTTCTATAAGGGTTTTGTGGTTCCGTGGCCCGAAAACCTCCACCCATAATTCAATAGAGCTATGCCTGGTGTTAACCGGAGGCAACCTTCAAAACCCTAAGCTCCGTATGGGCCCCAAAATCGAAGGATCAGCAAGTACTCGCAGAAAGCGGAGCACTTCGACAAGGCCGCTGTGCGAAAGCATGCCGCACACATTGCCGCCTGGATCGCCTATGGCCCAGAGGGCCGGATTCCGGATGTGGAGGAGCCTTGGGCACCAGAAGAACCCTGAAAGGGTTAGGGTTGATGTTTGGGTTTTAGGGTTTAGGGTTCGTATACCTCAATAGGGATTCTGGTAGTATAGGATATACCCCAAATTTAAGGTTCATCTGGTCCCCCCAAGGAACTCGAGCTCTTGAAGAAGTTCATCGACAAAGTGGGAGCTGGGCTGCTACCTTCGCGGTTAAACGAGGTCTTGCCGGATGCGCAAGCTGTGCTGCGCATGGTCTCCACTGGTCAGGTGGGCGAGGGCTGGACACGGGCCGAGCGAAAGCTGCAGAAAAGTCTGCGGAAGTTCCGCTGCTGCAGGGAGCTGGCGGACAAAGCAGCAATCAAGCAAGCAGCGGACGAAAAGGTGGAAGAGGTCATAATTGTTTCGGACACCGACGCGGCCGAGACAGGACCGCAACCTGAGGAAGCCGTACTCCTGCATGTCGACGAGGACGACGACCTGGAAACTACTGCCGCGTCCGAGCAGCACCTCCAGCTCGTCAGCAAGATGAACGAGTGGGGCTTCTTGGATGACGCTCAGAGAGTCGAGCGCGTGCAGCAGGCGGAGGCGGCAGCTCGGCGCCGGCGCAAGAATGTCAGCCAAGAAGAGCTGGCCGAGGTCATCAACACGGCTGCCGCAGCCCTTGCTGCTCCCCGCAGACGGGCAACACGGCGAGAAGTTGACTCGGAAGGCTCAGAGGAGGCAAAAACGGCCACGCAGCCGCAGGGTCCGAAGTTTGATCTGCAACGGCGGGTGCGGGCGCTGCTGCTTGACGCCCTGAAGTTGTGGCGCACGAAACAGTATGATCGCTCTGCAATCGCACACGTGCTGGACTTTGTGCAGATGAAGATCAGCAAGTTCGAAGACAACGTCGGCGAGATTGGAGGAGCTGCTGCTGGGAAAGCGTGGCTGTCCATCAAGGATGCAGTTGAGGAGATGCTGCAGGGGGTATCTGCAGTCGGTGAGCCCGAGAGCGAAGATCGCGTTGTCGAAGCTGCTTTCAGGAAAAGGCGACTCGAGCGCCAGAGCGGCATCCGAGGCATCAACTGGGACAGGCTTCGAATGTGCTGGCGCGTGTGGTGGTTTGAAGCCGGCAAGCGGCCCCAACGCAGCTTTCCTGCCACGAACTTTCTCAAGCAGGGTCTCAGTGAGGAGGAGGCCGTAGAGGCGGCATTGCAGGAAGTCAAAGCTTTTCGCCAGGAGCTGGAGCGGCAGGGCAAGCTGCAGCCCCCAAAGCTTACCTCACCTGCAATCTCCCCCGTGCGAGGCGTTGCGCACGACAAAGAGAGCGGAAGCTGGAAGGTTCAGCTCACTGACCCATCCACCAAGAAGCGGGTCCATGGTGGAAGCTTCCAGACGCAGGAGGAGGCGGAGGCCAAGGCGCAGGAGATGGGGAAGAAGCTGGGGCTCTCTGTCGAGAGCGGCTTGGTGCCTGTGAGGAAATTCTCTGAACTCCGTCGCTTTGAGAAGCTTGGCCCGCAGAAAGGTGTGAAGTGGGACATCAAGGAGCAGTGTTGGCATGCTCGCTGCACCATCGGGCTCAAGCACAAGCACTTGCGAGCACGGCCAAAAGATTTCTCGAAGCTGGAGGTGGAGAAGTCCTGGAATCAAGCAGTGGCCTGGCGCCAGCAGCAAGAGCAGCTAATGCATGAAGCCGAGCACCGAGCCACCCATGTGAAAGAATGACAGTCGTGGGCATGCGAACATGTAGCATACCTTCCTGCCCCACCCTGGGCCCTAGACACCAAGATCTCTTCATTTGCCGTGGCAGCCTCCTTTTGTAGGCTGAGCGTATAGTCTAGAGCCTCGGCCACCCATGCAGCGCGGACCTTAAGTTGCTTTTCTCTGCTCTTTTTGTTTGGGGGGGAAGGGGGGTGGGGGGGGGGGTGGGGGCTGAGGGGTGGGAGTGGACAAGGGCCACATCCTGGCATCGTCATCTCAGGGTTTGGGGATGCGTCTCATGATTGAGAGTTAATCGCCTAGTCTGAGAGGGGCCCTGAACAGGCTGCCAAAGAATGCGGGGGCTGGGTGAGTGAAGATTCACTGTATCGTGGGGTTCTTACGGGAGGGGGTTCAAAGGAGGCATGTAACCCAAGGTTCCCAATACTCCCCACTACTCCGTAAGGCTCCCCAAGCTTCCCTAATTCCCTCGATACTGCACCTCCCCCCCCCCCATACCCTCAACTCTGATCCTAAAACCTTAACCCTTAACCCTTTTTGTTTTTGCATCTGGGCTGGGTGGGAATGCCCAGAAAAAGGCAGCTGCTTGCACAGCTTGATCAGCTCTGCTGGCTGACACGCCATACACGCGCTACATACTCGACTGGGACGCTCTCAAACATGACAACCACCGAAGATGATGATAGTGGACTTGGTGAAATAGATGCAAATGCGTCTCCAACAGATCGCCGGTCAACAAGATGTGAACACACAGGGCTTCCTGAAGCATTCGACAATGTGCAATGGCGGCCTGCAGATGTGCAAGGTTCAAGTGGCGCACAGGGTACGTGAGGAACCCTTCTTGCTTGTGAAGAAAAACGGCTTTGTAACCGCAGTCTCCATCTGTCACTGTCTCACATTGCACAAGATACAAGCTCAGCAACCAAGGGACTTCTAGGAGCAGGTGCTCTCGCCAATTGCTCCAGGCCGACTCATGCGCAAATGCAACAGGTTCCACTCAAGCACTCGGCGAGACATCACACGCCAAGCATCTCTGTCCGACGCCCACTCCCTCAACCGTCGGGTGATGTTCGGCACCGTTGTTGCATTCACAGGACAAGGAGCATGCAAGCGGTACAGTTCACAAGCCGTTGCCCGCAACCATGCCAACTGACTTCGCCAAGGTCCTGGTTTCCCTGACTCAAAATCCTTGGCACCACTTAACCTAAACCCTAATCCCTCCCTTCAGGACCCTGAACGTACAGGGCTGCTTGTGATTCCCCCACACGCAAAGAACAAATGACAGCTCTGAGGGGGATTCAGGGCCTTGCGGCTCCAAGGCTTTTGGGGGTTTAGGAGTTTGGGGTTTAGGGTTGAGGGCTTAGGGTTTCGAATCTAGGGCTAGGGTTTCAACATTTTTTGGGGGGCTCACAGGTATTGAAAAGTCAAGGCTTCGGGGGTGTGATGTTTCAGGGATTGCGCAAGACCTGGGTCATTGGGTGCCGCCTGGCGGGCCGCTTGACATGGCGGGAAGATTCTGGCTCGAGCCCTGGAAGAAGCCAGCAATCCCCTCAGTCAGAACCTGAACCCTAAACCCTAGCCCTAAACCCTAAACCCTAAACCCTGGGTTTGAGGGGGCAGGGCTGTTGAACAGCTGGTTATACCCTAAACCTCCAACTAAACCCTGGGTTCGTGGAGAGATCATGGCCATCTCACCAAGCCGCCGATTGCGCCTGCATGCTCGGAAGTATCATCGTCTGGCTCACAAGTCCCAGGTGTTACTTGGAAGGGTTTAGGGTTTAGGGTTTAGGGTTTATTGTTTAGGATTTAGGGTTTAGGGTTTAGGGTTTAGGGCTTAGCGAATGTGGGCAGCACCATCGTCAAAGTGTGCTGTGGTGTCCGCGGCTTGCAAACTTCCAGCAATAATTCTCTACCTGGTTCCAACCGGAGGCAACCTTCAAAGTCCTAAGCTCCGTATGTTGGGCCCAAAATCGAAGGATCAGCAAGTACTCGCAGAAAGCGGAGCACTTCGACAAGGCCGCTGTGCGAAAGCACGCTGCCCATGTTGCCGCCTGGATCGCCTATGGCCCAGAGGGCCGGATCCCGGAGGTTGAGGCCGAAAAGGATTTTGGGTTTTGGGTTTTGGGTTTTGGGGCTTAGGGTTTATGGTTTAGGGTTTAGGGCTTAGGGTTTAGGGCTCATGTATGCCTGAGTAGGGATTTTAGTAGTATAGGGGTATAATGCGCCCGAATTTTAGGGTTCATTTTGTCCCCAAGGAACTCGAGCTCTTGAAAACGTTCATCGACAAACTGGGAGCTGGGCTGCTGCCTTCTCGTTTAAACGAGGTCTTGCCGGATGCGCAAGCTGTGCTGCGCATGGTTTCCATTGGTCAGGTGGGCGAGGGCTGGACACGGGCCGAGAGAAAGCTGCAGGCAAGTCTGCGGAAGTTCCGCTGCTGCAGGGAGCTGGCGGACAAAGCAGCCGCCAAGCAAGCAGCAGACGAAAAGGTGGACGAGATCGTAATGGTTTCGGATAGCGACGCGGCCGAGACAGGACCGCAACCTGAGGCAGCCGTACTCCTGCATGTCGACGAGGACGACGACCTGGAAACTACTGCATCCGAGCAGCACCTCCAGCTCGTCAGCAAGATGAACGAGTGCCTTCGACCCACAGTAGGCACTTATTCCCCGATTGTTTAGGGTTCAGGTTCCCTGATAATCTCCTTTAAACCATGCCAGACGGGTGCCCTTTTATTCCTAGGTTTCTCTTGGGTCTAGGTGGGGCTTCTTGGATGACGCTCAGAGAGTCGAGCGCGTGCAGCAGGCGGAGGGGGCAGCTCGGCGCCGGCGCAAGAATGTCAGCCGAGAAGAGCTGGCCGAGGTCCTCAACACGGCTGCGGCGGCCCTCGCTGCTCCCCGCAGACGGGCCACACGGCGCGAAGTTGACTCGGAAGGCTCCGAGGAGGCAAAAACGGCCACGCAGCCGCAGGGTCCGAAGTTTGATCTGCAACGGCGGGTGCGGGCGCTGCTGCTTGATGCCCTGAACTTGTGGCGCACGAAACAGTATGGGTGCTCCGCAATCGCACACGTGCTGGACTTTGTGCAGGTGAAGATCAGCAAGTTCGAAGACACTGTCGGCGAGATTGGAGGAGCTGCTGCTGGGAAAGCTTGGCTGTCCATCAAGGATGCAGTTGAGGAGATGCTGCAGCAGGTATCTGCAGTCGGTGCGACCGACAGCGAAGATCGCGTTGTCGAAGCCGCACATAGGACGGGGCGACTCGAGCGCCAAAGCGGCATCCAAGGCATCACTTGGCAGAGGCAAGCGATGTGCTGGAACTTAAATCTTTACGAAGACGGCAAGCGGCGCAGACTCTGCTTTCCTGCCACTAAATTTCTCAGGCAGGGCCTCTGCGAGGAGAAGGCTGTAGAGGCAGCGCTGAAGGAAGTCCAAGCTTTTCGCGAAGAGCTGGTGCAGCAGGGCAAGCTGCAGCCCCCAAAGCTTACCTCACCTGCTAGCTCCCATGTACGAGGAGTTGTGCACGACGAAGCGGGCGGAAGGTGGCAGGTCCGGCTCACTGACCCATCCACCAAAAGGCGGGTCCGTGGTGGCACCTTCCAGACGCAGGAGGAGGCTGAAGCCAAGGCGCGGGAGATGGCAAAGAAGCTGGGGATAGCCGTCGAGAGCAAGCTGGTGCCTGTGAAGAAACTCTCAGAACTCCGTCGTTTCGAGAAGCTTGCCCCACAAAAAGGTGTGAACTGGGACATCAAGGAGCAGTGTTGGCATGCTCAATGCATCGTTGGGGCCAAGAACAAGCACTTGCGAGCACGGCCGAAAGATTTCTCGAAGCTGGAGCTGGAGAAGTCCTGGAATCAAGCGGTGGCCTGGCGCCAGCAGCAAAAGCAGCTACTTCATGCGCGAAGCGGAGCACCGAGCAAGCAGCCGCCCATGTGAAAGAATCACAGCTGCAGGCTACGCAACCATGTAAATGCACCAAGATCTCTTCATTTGCCGTGGCAACCTCCTTTAGTAGTCTGAGCATGTAGGCTGAAGCCTCGGCCACCCATGCAGAGCAGACCTCAAGTTTGTTCTTTTTGCGGGGGGCGGGAGGGGGGGGGGAGGGGGGAGGGTCGAGGGGGCATCTAGTCTCAGAGGGGCACTTGAACAGGCTGGCAAAGAATGCATGGTTTCTTCACGGTGCCAGTTGTCCACTGACTGGGGTGAGTGAAGATTCAGTGTATCGTAGGGTTCCTAGGTTTGGGGCTTAGGGTTTTTAGGGCTAGGGTTAAAGGATTCTTGGGGGGCTCAGCGGTATCGAGGGTTCCGGGCTTCGGGGCTTGAAGTTTCAGGGATTGCACAAGAGCTGGGTCATTGGGTAAGCGGCAGGCCGCTCGACTTGGCGGGAGGATGCTGGCTCCAGCCCTGAAGGAACCCTCAACCCTAAACCTGAAACCCTAAGCCCTGAACCCTAAACCCTAAACCCTAAGATATTCCCTACATAGCCTGGCTTCGTGGATAGACCATGGCCATCTCACCAAGCCGCCGATTGCGCCTGCATGCTCGGAAGTATCATCGTCTGGCTCACAAGTCCCAGGTGTTACTTGGAAGGGTTTAGGGTTTGGGGCTTGGGGTTTGGGGCTTGGGGCTTGGGGCTTAGGGTTTAGGGTTTAGGGTTTAGGGAATGTGCTCAGCACTAATATAAGGTCATGCCTTCTATAAGGGTTCTGTGGTTCCGTGGTTTGAAAACCTCCACCAACAATTCGATGGAGCTATGCCTGGTTTAAGCCGGAAGAAACCTTCAAAGTCCTAAGCTCCGTATGCCCCAAAATCGAAGGATCAGCAAGTACTCGCAGAAAGCGGAGCACTTCGACAAGGCCGCTGTGCGAAAGCATGCCGCCCACGTTGCCGCCTGGATCGCCTATGGCCCAAAGGGCCGGATCCCGGAGGTTGAGGAGCCTTGGGGACCAAAAGAACCCCGAAAGGGTTAGGGTTGAGGTTTGGGTCTTCGGGTTTAGGGTTCATAAATCTCAATAGGGATTCTGGTAGTATAGGATATACCCCAAATTTAAGGATCATCTGGTCCCCCCAAGGAACTCGAGCTCTTGAAAACGTTCATCGACAAAGTGGGAGCTGGGCTGCTGCCTTCTCGTTTAAACGAGGTCTTGCCGGATGCGCAAGCTGTGCTGCGCATGGTGGTTTCCACTGGTCAGGCGGGCGAGGGCTGGACACAGGCAGAGCGCAAGCTGCAGGCAAGTCTGCGGAAGTTCCGCTGCTGCAGGGAGCTGGCGGACAAAGCAGCCGCCAAGCAAGCAGCAGACGAAAAGGTGGAAGAGATCGTAATGGTTTCGGACACCGACGCGGCCGAGACAGGACCGCAACCTGAGGCAGCCGTACTCCTGCATGTCGACGAGGACGACGAGCTGGAAACTACTGCATCCGAGCAGCACCTCCAGCTCGTCAGCAAGATGAACGAGTGCCTTCGACCCACAGTAGGCACTTATTCCCCCTTTGTTTAGGGTTCAGGTTCCCTGATAATACCCTTTAAAGTTTAAAGTTTAAACCATGCCAAAACCATGCCAAACGGGTGCCCTTTTATTCCTAGGTTTCTCTTGGGTCTAGGTGGGGCTTCGTGGATGACGCTCAGAGAGTCGAGCGCCTGCAGCAGGCAGAGGCGGCAGCTCGGCGCCGGCGCAAGAATGTCAGCCAAGAAGAGCTGGCCGAGGTCCTCAACACGGCTGCCGCAGCCCTTGCTGCTCCCCGCAGACGGGCCACATGGCGAGAAGTTGACTCGGAAGGCTCTGAGGAGGCAAAAACGGCCACGCAGCCGCAGGGTCCGAAGTTTGATCTGCAACGGCGGGTGCGGGCGCTGCTGCTCGATGCTCTGAACTTGTGGCGCACGAAGCAGTATAATTGCTCCGCAATCGCACACGTGCTTGACTTTGTGCAGGTGAAGATCAGCAAGTTCGAAGACAACGTCGGCGAGATTGAAGGAGCTGCGGCTGGGTCTGTCTGGGTTTCCATCCAGCAGGCCATCGACGACATGCTGAATGGTGCCGATGTGCAAACCGGCGACTTCGCCCTTCCTGCGGCCATGGCGGCAGACGCACTGACGAGACAACTACAGAGGCAAGGAAGCATACATTGCGCTGCGTCCTTGCCGTCTGCCGAAACAAGGGCAGCGAGGTCGACGAGACTTGAGCGCCAAAGCGGCGTCCAAAGCATTTCGTGGAACACGATGACACCTGGCTGGAGGGTCTCGTGGCAGGAGGGTGGTCGTCGAAGAAGGCTCCAGTTCTCAATCTCCAAGTTCCTGAAACAGGGCCTCAGCGAGGAGGCGGCTGACCAGTCGGCTCTGCAGGAGGCCAAGGACTGCCGCGAAGAGCTGGTCCGCCAGGGCAAGCTGCAGCCCCCAAGAACCCGTTTGGAACAAAGTTTTCTGAGAGGGGTGTCTTTTTCCAGGACACGCAAGAAGTGGAGGGTGGAACTCGAGGATCCTGTTGAAAGGAAGCGCGTCAATGGTGGAAGCTTTGCCACGCAGGATGAAGCCGAGGCAAAAGCTCGAGAGATGGCCCTGCAGTTCGGTGTGCCAGCCGAAGTGGAAGTGGTGCCAGCGAGAAAGCTTTCGGAGCTGCCGCACTTCGAGCCGCTCGGACCACAGAAAGGAATCTACTGGAGTCTTGGTGAACAGTCCTGGAAGTCCACTTTCTGGGCATTTGGCAAGACCAAGACCATGCGATTCCGTCCCACCGACTGTTCACAGGAGGAGGTGGCGAATGCGTGGCAGGCAGCAGTGGCTTGGCGCCAGCAACAGAAAGAGCAGAAACAGGCCAAGATGGCCAAGACACATTGAGAACCTCTCCCAGCGGCATTGCGGCTGGTTTCAGCTTTAAGAAGGGCAGAGGCCTGGCACCAGCAGCAAGAGTAGCCAACGCATGAAGCAGAGCACTGAGCAAGCAGCCGCCCTGTGAAAGAATGGCAGTTGTGCGCTCTGCAACCATCTAGTATACGTTCCTGCAGGCAGGCTGAGGCCTGGGGCGCCCATCCAGATCTCAAGAGCTCTATCCCGTTGCCACCAGCAAACCCCATGAGTCCTCAGAATGGGCGGGTTACAAATAGTATGAGGCCCCTAGAACACCAGACACGCTGAGACTTTGGCTCCCATGCCCAAGGCGCCAAGTTGGAGTTTATAGGGTTTTGGGTTGAGGGTTTAGCGTTTAGGGTCTAGGGTTTAGCGATAGCCGGGGGGGGCCGGGGGGGGGGGGGAGGGGGGGGCCTCCAAAATGGGGTCATGTGAACGAATGTTTTAGGAGGTGTGATTCGACTCAAGGCTGAAACCAAAGCAAAGATACCACGGATGGTTTTCACTGTGTAAGCTAGCCTTGACCGTGTATAATATATGTATATGTATATATATATACACACATTACAGTACGAGGTATATGTATGCGTATACCCCTAAACCCTAAACCCTACACCCCAAATATTGGGCTGCTTGGTCCCCACACGAATGGAAGCTCTGAGAGAGATTTGAGGCCCTTGCGGCTCCAAGGCTTTTCTAATGGGGTTTAGGGTTTAGGGCAAGAGCTGAGTCATTGGGTGCCGCTTGGCAGGGCCGCTGGACATGGCGGGAGGGTTCTGGCTCGAGCCCTGAAGGACTTAAGCCCTAAGCCCTAAACACTGAACCCTAAACCTTAGACCCTAAATCCTAAACCCTAAACCCCAAACCCCAAACCCTAAACCCTCAGAAATTCCCTGCAAAGCCTGGGATCGTGGAGAGATCATGGCCATCTCACCAAGCCGCCGGCTGCGACTGCATGCTCGGAAATATCATCGTCTGGCTCACAAGTCCCAGGTGATACTTGGAAGGGTTTAGGGTTTAGGATTTAGGGTTTAGGGTTTAGGGTTTGAGGTTTGAGGGTTTGAGGTTTAGGGTTCAGGGTTTAGGGAAGGTGCGCAGCACCATCGTCAAAGTGTTCTGTGGTGTCCGCGGCTTGCAAACTTCCAGCAATAATTCCCTACCTGGTTCCAACCGGAGGCAACCTTCAAAGTCCTAAGCTCCGTGTGTGGCCCCAAAATCGAAGGATCAGCAAGTACTCGCAGAAAGCGGAGCACTTCGACAAGGCCGCTGTGCGAAAGCACACCGCCCACGTTGCCGCCTGGATCGCCTATGGCCCAGAGGGCCGGATCCCGGAGGTTGAGGAGCCTTGGGGACCAAAAGAACCCCGAAAGGGTTAGGGTTGAGGTTTGGGTCTTCGGGTTTAGGGTTCATAAATCTCAATAGGGATTCTGGTAGTATAGGATATACCCCAAATTTAAGGATCATCTGGTCCCCCCAAGGAACTCGAGCTCTTAAAAAAGTTCATCGACAAAGTGGGAGCTGGGCTGCTGCCGTCTCGTTTAAACGAGGTCTTGCCGGATGCGCAAGCTGTGCTGCGCATGGTGGTTTCCACCGGTCAGGCAGGCGAGGGCTGGAAGCAGGCAGAGCGAAAGCTGCGGGCAAGTCTGCGGAAGTTCCGCTGCTGCAGGGAGCTGGCGGACAAAGCAGCCGCCAAGCAAGCAGCAGACGAAAAGGTGGAAGAGATCGTAATGGTTTCGGATAGCGACGCGGCCGAGACAGGACCGCAACCTGAGGAAGCCGTACTCCTGCATGTCGACGAGGACGACGACCTGGAAACTTTTGCCGCGTCCGAGCAGCACCTCCAGCTCGTCAGCAAGATGAACGAGTGGCTTCGACCCACAGTAGGCACTTATTCCCCCTTTGTTTAGGGTTCAGGTTCCCTGATAATACCCTTTAAAGTTTAAAGTTTAAACCATGCCAAAACCATGCCAAACGGGTGCCCTTTTATTCCTAGGTTTCTCTTGGGTCTAGGTGGGGCTTCTTGGATGACGCTCAGAGAGTCGAGCGCCTGCAGCAGGCAGAGGCGGCAGCTCGGCGCCGGCGCAAGAATGTCAGCCAAGAAGAGCTGGCCGAGGTCCTCAACACGGCTGCCGCAGCCCTTGCTGCTCCCCGCAGACGGGCCACATGGCGAGAAGTTGACTCGGAAGGCTCTGAGGAGGCAAAAACGGCCACGCAGCCGCAGGGTCCGAAGTTTGATCTGCAACGGCGGGTGCGGGCGCTGCTGCTCGATGCTCTGAACTTGTGGCGCACGAAGCAGTATAATTGCTCCGCAATCGCACACGTGCTTGACTTTGTGCAGGTGAAGATCAGCAAGTTCGAAGACAACGTCGGCGAGATTGGGGGAGCTGCTGCCGGGGCTGTCTGGGTTTCCATCCAGCAGGCCATCGACGACATGCTGAATGGTGAGGAAATGCAAACTGGCGACTTCGCCCTTCCTGCGGCCATGGCGGCGGACACACTGACGAGACGACTTGGGAGGCAACGAAGCATGCATTGCGCTGAAGAGAACGAGTCAAGCGCCGAGTGCTTTCCGGCTGCCAAGACAAGGGCAGCGAGGGGCCCGTCGACGAGACTTGAGCGCCAAAGCGGCATCCAAGGCATTTCGTGGAACACGTCGACGCCTGGGTGGAGGGTCTCATGGCAGGAGGATGGTCGTCCAAGAAGGCTGCAGTTCTCCATCTCCAAGTTCCTGAAGCAGGGCCTTAGTGAGGAGTTGGCTGACCAGTCGGCTCTGCAGGAGGCCAAGGACTGCCGCGAAGAGCTGGTTCGCCAGGGCAAGCTACAGCCCCCAAAGCCCCGTTTGGAAAAAAGCTCCCTGGTGAGAGGGGTGTCTTTCTCCAGGACTCAGCAGAAGTGGAGGGTAGACTTCGAGGACCCTGCTGAAAGGAAGCGCGTCTTCGGTGGAAGCTTTGCCACACAGAACGAAGCCGAGGCAAGAGCTCGAGAGATGGCCCGGAAGTCCGGTGTGCCAGCCGAAGTGGAAGTGGTACCAGCGAGAAAGCTTTCGGAGATGCCGCACTTCGAGCCACTCGGACCACAGAAAGGAATTTGGTGGAGACTTGGTGAACAGTGCTGGCATGCCACTCTCCGGGTCTGTGGCAAGACCAAGAACATGCGATTCCGTCCCACCAACAGTTCAGAGGGGGAGGTGGCGAAGGCATGGAAGACAGCAGTGGCTTGGCGCCAGCAACAGAAAGAGAATAAACAGGCCAAGATACATTGAGAACCTCTCCCGGTGCCTTTGCCGTGTGGCATGCAGCTGGCTTTAGCTCCAAGAAGTCCTGGAATCAAGCGGTGGCAGCAAGAGCAGCCACTGCAGTCTGAGCAAGCAGCCGCCTTGTGAAAGAATGACAGTTGTGGGCTCTGCCAACAGTTCCTGCACCACCCACGCCCTGTTTGATTTTTGGGGGGTGGGGATTCGACTTCATGTGAAAGATAGAGATGGATACATACAGTAGCCGGTATAGGTATGTGTAAAACCCAAAACCCTAAACCCTAAAGCACATGCAAAACCTACGGAATAAGACTAAGTCAAGGAAGAGCAGATCCGGAAGAAGGAGTCAAAGAGGCCGGAGGGTTTAGGGTTTAGGGCTTCAAGGTTTACGGCTTCAAGGTACAGGGGTTAGGGATGCAAAAAAGGGCATTAGGGTGTTTGTTCAGCGTGTTGGGGGGGTGTTTGGGGTTTAGGGCATAGGGTTCGGGGTTCAAAATCTGGGCACTTTTCATCTGCAAGCGAGTTTGGGTGGTTGAAGTGGGCGGGCGAGCGAGGGAGTGGGGGGAGGTTTTGGACCCGCATAGCTGAACTGAGCCGCGCTGCCGGGAGAATCGAAGCTTGATAAGGAGCAATTGTACCCTCCCTCTGGCCGCCACAACGATTTTTGATACTTGCAAAACAAAAAGCAAGCTTTCAGGATTCGGATTTGGGCTGTTTAGAGCCCACAAAGTCTTGAACCCGATACCTTGCAGGCCCGACATGGACTCCATGGAATAAAGCGCAGCCCAAGTAGTTACCCATCCTTGTACAGATATCAAGCTTGATACACTGCCCAAAATACCCAGTTTAAGCAAGTAGTCCCCTAGACTGCACATTTGGTGCGCGCTAGCTAAACCCTAAACCCGAAAGCCCAAACCCGGAAAAAAAAAAAAAAAAAACTGAACCCTAAACCCTGAACCCTAAACCCTAAACCCTAAACCCTAAACCCTAAACCCTAAACCCTAAACCCTAAACCCTAAACCCTCACCTTCTTGGGTCCCTAAACTTCAGGGAACCCAGAGGTTGATCACATTCATTTTGTGAGAAGTAATTGGCTTCGGGTCCTCGGATGTGTTTCAAGCAGAAGTCTACGTTAGAACTAATACGTAGTAGCTGAGTGAGTACACTTTACACTTTTTGGGATAAGTGTACACTTTTGGGGGCTTATGACCTCAGCAACTAAGAATAAGCATATCCGAGAAACCCTAAAGCCTGAACCCTTTTTGGGGGGGTTTACGACATTCGGGGTACCTTATTGGGGTCCTTGTGATAAGGGGATCCTACTCTTTGGGGGTTCCGTATTTTCGTAAACCCTAACCCTAAACCCTGAACCCTAGCCCCTAAACCCATATCTTAAACAGATGGTTCATGCGGGGCCCTGTTGACAAGGCGGAGATTCTTCTGGCAGGACAAGTACCAGCCTCCCGACATCGTGGAGGTGGCGGCCTGGACGCACTGTTTGGGTGGGTGGGGGGGTTTAGGGTTTTGGGTTTTGGGGGTTTTGGGGGTTTGGGGCATGTTTAGGGCTTAGGGCTTTGGGTCCTGAGCGTTTGGGAGCACGAGGGCTTCAACAACAAACCCTACCGAAAAGCCACACGTGCGTAAAGGCACCAGCCATGAACTGAAGGAACCCAAGCACCTTAGGGTTAGGGTTTAGCCGTCGCCCCCGAAGCTTCGAGCCCTTGAGCCTTCCACTGAGGTGTGCGTAGCCGCTGGGCGGCAAAAGGCAGCGGTGTCCTTTCAATTCCTCGGGGCGATTGGTTTAGGGTTCTGGGTTAAAGGCTTACAGGGTTGACATCGAGCTTGGCGTCCCAGCTCCATAGAAGACATAGAAAAGCGGCTTGAGAGCCGATAGGACCCTAAACACTAGAAAACCCGAAACCTTGAAGCCTCAAAAAACCCGAAACCCTAAACCCTACGAAACCTAACAAAACTGGATGTATCTCAGGGAGGGTTGGCTTGGGTTAAGCATGGCTGCGGTCTACAGAGAAACGCCGACACCTGAAGTTCTTGTCCCCATTGAATGGGCTAGGGTTTAGGGTTTAGGGCTCTTTAATAGTATAGAGTTTCGGGTTTGGGGTTTAGGGCTTAAAAGCTTCAACAAACGACTCACGCCATGCTTTAAGGTCTCGAAGCTGCCTCACTTGCATGAAGGAACCTACAAACACTACATTAGGGTATAGGGTCTCCCTAAACCCGTAACCCTTAGCTCTAAACCCTAAACCCTAAATCCTAAACCGAAGCCCCTTTTAGCAGATTCAAAGCCCAGGAGTGCGGCCAGAAGTCCTGGTTGGATGCCAAGTGGCAGCTAGGCAAAGCTGGGCCCAACTCTTCCTTTGGGGTTTCGGGTTTAGGGTTTAAGGCCTGCTGCGAACATGTCTGATGCCCCCAGTACCAGAGAGACAGAGAGAGAGAGAGAGAGAGAGAGAGAGCGAGGGAGGGAGGGAGGGAGGAAGGGAGGGAGGAAGGGAGGGAGGGAGGGAGGGGGAGGGTTTAGGGTTTAGGGTTTAGGGTTTAGGGTTTAGGGTTTAGGGTTTAGGGTGTAGGGTTTAGGGTTTAGGGTTTAGGGTTTACGGTTTAGGGTTTAGGGTTTAGGGTTTAGGGTTTAGGGTTTAGGGTTTAGGGATCTCCTGCTTTTGGGGTTTTAGGGTTGAGGGTTAAGGGAGCCCCTTCATTGGGGTCTTTCGGGCTTGGGGATACGGTGCTTTCAGGGTCTATGGGGTCCCCTGGACCTTAGGGAATCCTTCTTGGGTTTTTGGGGGGGACATTTAGGGGCTGGTTTTCCAGAGGGAAGCCTCCCAACTGAGGCTCAAAGCGAAGAAAGGCTGGAGCGGGTTTCGGGCCTTAAAGACCCCAACCCCAACCCCTTTAGGGTTTAAAGTTCAGGGTTTCGAAACCCTTCAGGGTTTCAGCCTGGTTTCTTCGCGAGCTTTGCCGGGCTTTTTCTCACGTTGTGGGCTTGCCGCAACATGAAGAGATGCCAGAAATCATTCTCTAGAGTGTGAAGTTTTGGAATTAGAAGAACGCAGCTTCCGCGTTGCAGTATCTGCATTGGTGTTCCAGAAAACTAAGCCCCTAACAGGGCAACTTACGTTTGAGTTCCTGATGAGCCCTTAGCCCTTTAAGCCCCCTAATTATTTTGAGGTCAATCTTCCGTAGGGTGCTACTTCCGAAAGCTTGTTCCGCCATAGTTTCGGCCCAACAGTTTGTTTCATTAACGGCTTGTAGTATGTTAGGCCGCCTAGGGCCTAGGGCCTAACATCATGCTTCGGGCCGGGTCGTAATCCAAACAAGGGGGGGGGGGGGGGGGGTGTTGATAGCGAAATTTATTTCCGCAGAATTTCCTAAATTGTGGTCCTAAGAGAATTGCAAGCGCTGTGCAATCGAAGAGCCCTTCTTCAGCAGCTACTTGATCAGAGGTATTCCTAGGGAGTGCGATTCCGTCCAATCCCTAAACCCTAAACCTTGCAGAGCCAAAGCTAAGAGGCTCAGAAGAGGCCGAGAGAATCTTAGAAGGGTTTAGGGCTTAGGGCTTAGGGCTTAGGGCTTTGGTTCAGGGTTAGGGCTTAGGGCTTTTTTGGTTTAGGGTTTAGGTTTCAGCATCTCAAGTACAAGCATTCACTAGTGAAGCTCGCTACTCCGGTACTCGTATCGAATATCAACCCACCCGTCCTTTGTTTGAATCCCGTAACATTAAAAAGCTATTTTCGCTTTCTCAACCCTAAACCTTATCCCTTAGACCAGAAGCCGACAAAGTTTGGCAAATTTGCTGGCCACCAGAGGGTCTGCCGACGAATTTTGGCAAATTTGCTGGCCGCCCACGAAAATAGGGACAAATGCCCACGATGAGGCAAGTTTTGCTGGCCTTTAGGCTTGCGTAGACCGCGGGCCAGAGCAAATCCTGCGGGGGGGGGGGGGGGGGGGGTGAGTTATGGAAAAAACATTAAAATCATGGACCCTCAAAAAAAGAACCTTTCAAACATCAAAAGCCCTCGAAAAGCCTTCTGCTCCCTTAGAGGTAAGCCTTTAGCGCCTTGAGGGTTCGCAGGGCGAGCAGGGGTCGCTCCTCGGCAAGCCTGATTTAGGTTTTTGAGTTCCTTAAGGTAGGGTTTAGGGTTTAGGGTTTAGGGTTTAGGGTTTAGGGTTTAGGGTTTTAGGGTCCCAGAACCTAAAGCACCCGTACAGGTGGCATGAAGTCAGCAGTGTGCGTGCGCTGTCGGTCGATCCTGGCGGGCGTCGCCTGAGCATGGGCGGAGAGTGGCGGAAAGCTTTCCTTTATCAACGGGGCTTCGGATGTCTTGCAGTGCCCCTTAAAATGAAGCTCCCCCCAACCCAAACACACCCGAGGCTCACCACGCTCCAATGAAGCCCCAATGAAAATCTTAGGATCAGTTCCTGTTAGCCCAAGACCTGCCAGATGCGGCAGGAGGGGTGCTTGGCCGCTGCAATTTTAGGATTCCTCCCTAAGGACCCCCCTGAAACCGGCGAAATTCTCACCAAGATGGGTTTGGGGAGTGTAGGGTGTGTAGGTTTCTAGGGCTCTTTAGCGTTTTAGGGTGTTTAGGGGTGAGGGTTTAGGGTTTAGGGTTCAGGGTTCAGGGTTTAGGGTTTAGGGTTTAGGGTTTAGGGTTTAGGGTTTAGGGTTTAGGGTTTAGGGTTTAGGGTTTAGGGTTTAGGGTTTAGTATAGACAAGCAGCATGTGTGGTGTGAAGGGCCTTTGTCCTTGGCCCCATCCTCTGTTTCTCGAAGCCAAGGCCTCCACCCAGCAAGAGCGCCTGAAAGTAGCCCTAAACCCTAAACCCTAAACCCTAACCCTAAACCCTAAACCCTAAACCCTAAACCCTAAACCCTAAACCCTAAACCCTAAACCCTAAACCCTAAACCCTAAACCCTAAACCCTAAACTCCAAGTCAAGGTTGTGGGGTTGATCTCCCTCCGCCTCACTCCTCGGAATCATAGAGCTTCCTGTG